CTAACCTCCAGTGTTGAAATCTGTTTATGGAGACTGGCCATTTCGGTGATCACTTTCTCAGCGTCATTCACTCGCTTACTCAACCTTTCCAGCTCCTCCTGGACACCAAACACCCAAGGATGACGATAATGCAACCCATCATCCTTGGTGAAAACAACAAAACACATATTAGAATCTGTATAATTTAATAAAGAATAATAAACAATTATTAAGCGAGTGGATGAGTTGTTGTTTTACCTCGTAGTTACTGCACGTGAAGAAACGCTTGCCAGGAAGACTGTCATACTCCTTGTTCCCGCAAAGCTCATCAACGATTGTCGAACCACAGGGACACCTCGCCGGAATCCCAAACTGTGAATCTGCCACGAAACCAACCCTGTCGTAGTACTCCTTGTGCCTCTTCATATCTCTTCTCTCTTCTGGATCCATCTGTATCACAAAGTAGAAAAATATGTGACAAGTTCATTAACCAAAAAAATCGAAGATAAAAATATGGGACAAGTTCATTAATTTTCAAAGAATGTAATCCCCATACTCAAGACAAACCCTAAAATCAAACCCCCAAATCGAAAATTAATTTTCATAAGTATATAAATCGAAATACATATTGGAGAATCACTTGGAAATTATACGAGTTATCTTTTTGTAACTTATACGAGTTATCACTAAATTGTTAATTGTCTTTGTTTATGTAAAATAGTTGGTTCTTTTTTATTTTCAAATTCAAACTTGGATATGTATTTAGATTAAAATCTTATACGAGTTATCACTAGATTTAAACCCCCATACTCGATTTAAAAAACCCCAAATAAAAACCCTAAAATCATTGAAGAACCCTAAATCGAAAACCCCCAATTCTATTTCGAATCGACGGTAAAGAAACCCTAAATCGAACATGCATGTGGATTTGAAACCCCCCATACTCGATTTAAAAAACCCCAAATAAAAACCCTAAAATCATTGAAGAACCCTAAATCGAAAACCCCCAATTCTATTTCGAATCGACGGTAGAGAAACCCTAAATCGAACATGCATGTGGGATTTGAATCCATAAAACGAAACCCCTTTCGATTTACAACCCTAAAATAAAAAAAAAGATCAATCGATCTCGAAAACCCTAGATCTCCTCGACACCAAATCGATTCTATTGGCTTGGTAATGATAGACGATACTCACCGGAGCTATGTGAGGAGATCTTCCGTCGTCGATTTGGTAGATGGCTCCGGATTCGCCGTCGGATTCACCGTCGCAAGAAAAATCGCCGATATCGCCTCGAGGAGAGAAAACGCGTAGAGAGGAGAGAAAATGAGAGTTTTTGCCCGAGACCCGTCTTTCGCGAAGGTCAACAAAAAAAAATACAACCTATCAGCGGTAAACACGTGGCGTGAACCCGTCTCACACGGGTTCGTTCCCACGAACCGGATCGTCGAAATTAACCCATTTTTTCTTTAAATTTTAAATCTCGGGCCTAGGAATCTGAGCCCATGAACCTGCCTTGATACTCTAATGGGCATGCTCTAAGTTCCTGAACCTGTGGAACACTCTCAGTCTTCTTCTGTCTTTAGATAAAACTCGAAAACCATTAACCAGTACCTTCGTTTTTTGGCAGGAAACCAGTACCTTTGTAATATGAGCTTTTCTCGCTTTAAGAAACACGGTTTCTTCTCTTGGAATTCGAATTCTGCAACAACAAACCATTCACTTAAGTGAAACATCTTGATATAAATCAAGGCCTAACATTTGTTTCTTTGTTACCAGTACATACCAGTTTACTATAGTCATGATCTTTGGAACCATCACGCTTTGCGTATTTGGACCTGTTTGAAGATTCAGATACTTGAGAGATATAAGGGAAAGATGTTGGTAGCAAGACAAGTCCATGATTCATGTCGAAAGCGTTAGCTCTTAATCTCAAGATTACTTGCGTAAGAGCTTTCATAGCTGCATCAGGATTTCCAGTAATCTGACCACAACAAAACAGAATATTAGCTTAATGGTTCTCATAATACAATCTAAAGTATATGTGTGTTTTAGTTACCTGAACCATCTCCTCATCTTCACGTGCAATTTTCGGTACATTTTCCTTTTGAAGAATACGAATATTAGCTCGTGTTACACTCCTCATCTCGGATATAACAGCACCACCTTTCCCAATGAGACACCCTATATGGGAACTCGACACGAGTAAACGAGTAGAGATTGTTGAATCATTTGTATCTTTACCAACTTTCTCACTACATCGCTCTTGTAAACGTATGGCTGCATTCACCGTTGGTGATTGATCTTCATAGAACTATACACACACAAAAAAAAAGATTCGTTTATTTAAGTTATAAGATCTTTATATTAGATATATATATTTTGGTTACCTCTTTTGATGAAATGAAAATGATGCTATCATCTTCTTCAGATTCTGATGTATTAACTCTAATGTTTGCACCAGTTTCTTGCCTAATCTGATTAATGAAACCACCACCTTTCCCTATTACACCTCCAACATTTTCAGCTGGACAGATGAAACAAACACAAAACTCCGTCGCATCGGCTAAGTCTCTACGTGCAGTGTAGTTTCTGTGAGAGCTCATTAATGGTGCTGCACCCATCAGCATCCCACCGGGTTGATACATTGTACTTGGAGATGACAAGAGAGAGTGCTGAAACCGTGACGGATTATCATGAAGCAATGAAGCAACTTGATAAAGAGCCTCTCTAACAATCAGAGGCTCTCCAATAATCTGAAAAAAAAAATCAACCAACATCACACACACATGAGCTAATCTTAGAAGTCATATGATAAAGACTTGTAAGAGTTATTACCTGAAGAAGCTCATCATGACTCAAAGTCAAAGCACAAGGAGGTAAGTTATCTTTAATAACACGAATCTGAGCATTGGTCTCGGTACGCAGCTTCTGGATAACTTGTCCACCTTTCCCAATAACGCAACCTATTTGGTCCGAAGGCACAAGCATCCTCACAGTAACCGTTTGTTTTCCGACAAGATCCTCATCATCATCACCATCATCATTGTCATTACTTTCCGTTGCAATCATGTCATGAACTTTGAAAAGAGCATCCAAAGCAGGACAAACAAGCTCTCCATCGTCACCAAAATGATTCAACTCATCACTAGTAGAATAAATAGTAACAACACGCTCCTCACAACCGGGCAAAGCTTCGTTGATCCTCATGTTTGCTTTTGTCTCGGACCTTATCTGCTTCGCGATCTCACCGCCTTTGCCGATAATGCTCCCAGTCTTTTTCACAGGGCAGAGGTAACGATAGACAGTGTCTTCAGAGCCGATAACGTTGTGATCTGTATCATCATCATGAAGATTTCTTCTCTTACTTCCTCCATTTCCAGGAAACTCAGATTGGAAGTTAGATCTCTTACCATGGATGTTCCTCATAGTACTAGCCATCGATCTCAACAGCAAACGACAAGAAGCTGGGTGAAGAAAAAAGAGAGAATTATTGTTGATATGATCATCAGAAAACTAAAGTAAGAATGATCAGATCTCATCAGTTCAAAAACTCAAGTTTTAGTTTCTTAAAATGGAAATATTCAGACATAAACAGCTTGACTTCGTCGGTCAACTATACTAAATCAGGAAATAAATAGACATTTAGATCACATCTATATCAAAAACTAGTTTTCAACGAAAATTGAGCTCACTAGAACCATTACGCACCCAACCGATCAAGATCAAATGACACATCACCACCGACCAAGATCAACCGGTTTACATGATGAGCTCGATTGTACCGACATTCAGATATTTAAACATGCAAATACTTACCGGAGAAGAACAAGTCACTGATCGGAGCTTTTTAGCGGTCGATCTCTTCTGCTTCTAAGACTTCTATGGTGTGTTTCTTTATTTGGGTTTGGAAGCAGAGGAGTACAAGAAATGGGGTTAACGTCTATAAATATAAACAAACATCTGGAGGTTATGCGTTACAGGTGGCTTTTTTAATTGAATTCTCTAATAAGTAATAACTGTTCTTCGGGACGTGACGGCACGTATTAATAATGTGTAACTATCATATAACATTAAAAATAAATACATGTACTCGAAATTAAAATAAAATACATATTCATTTTTGTTGTTACAAGGGTTATGACGAAATAATTAGTATGACTTTGATATAACAACTGATAAAAAAAAAAAAATTTGAACATAGCTTATAACAACATGATGATTTAATCTTTTTAAGGTGTGCTTCCAAGGTTACTGATGATTACTGGATTAGTACTTATTGAATCCGTATTACTAACAAAACCTTAGTATCACCAACTACATTGGAGATTAATTCAACCATCATTATAGTTTGGTGAACTAATATTTTGAATTGCTAACGACTACATAAATGTTGACAAAAATGTAGCAATTTTATTTTAGCTTTTAGATGTTGCATTTTTCTAATGTCGTTTATATAAACAGTTGAAACTTTTGATTGATTAACAGTTAACACTAACATTAATTGATGAAAATAATAGGAAATAAAACTAAATTATAATTGACTTCTAATTTTCTTATTCAACTTGTGGCTGGTGGTGGCATAGGATTATTGTGTAGCTGTGAATTATAGATATCTTGAATTATAATTACCCAGCTAGTCTGAACGAACTAGTCTATGTTTGGCATGTGCTAGATTGAGACTTTCCGTTTTGTCAAAAAAAAAAAAAAAAAAAAATTGAGACTTTCATATCAAAATTATAAGCCTGTTGGTTTTTATATTCTTCTCCCACGACTAGTTTATATCAAAATTATATTATCTGTTTATAAATAAAGGCAAACTAGTATATTTAAATGATCCAATCGATAAGCTGTATAAACTAGTCGGCAGACATGCGTAGAAATTTGATAGTCAACGTCTTTAAAAATTTGCTAAATTCATTAACTCAATAATCAGTTCAACATAACCAAAAGCCGTTGGTTCAAAATATTAGTAAGATATAGTATAAACTAACTAGGCCTAATTCACAATAATAGAGCTCTAATAATTTTTTGAAAAACTATTGTAACACTTGTTAATTTTTTTTTTTTTTTTTTTATCAAGACACTTGTTAATTTTTTTAAATATCATCATTTATATAAAAAAAAATTCCAAGAGTCTCTCTCACCCATAGTATAATTCAAGATGTGCAACTCTGAATCTCTAATCCTTAATTTAATCTCAGTAAGTATTTGATTGATCATTTTAACAATGCATATCTCTTCGTAAATATAGGAAATATTCATAGTGTAGTATTAAATCCAGTACTCTAAACACACTACTAAAGGTACTAGTATTAATTTTCCTTTGACTAAAATTCAAAGAATTTTTTTCCTGGCATGCAAGATTAAATGAATTCTGGCTGTTCCTTTGTATACAAATGCATTCACCTTTTGAATTATATTAGTTAGTGATTTTGTTATTTATATCCTTTGTATAAAAGTAGTTTCTTCATAATATAGTACAGCATCATTTAAAAAGCTAGAACAAAGAAAAAGAAAAGGTAAAGGCTTTAGATACAAACAGTACAGTAAAGAAGAAGAAGCACTACCTCTCTCTCCCCCCCCCTTTTCCAATAAATTAGGGTTTTTTTTTTAAATCGGATTCACGACAAGCAGAACCATTTTCTTCCGACAACAGTCCAGATTTGTCTCTCCCAGTTTCGAAACAGTAAGCCTTTCCTTTACTTCACTTATGTCTGCAAATCTTCTAACGGATTTTACTGTCATAATGCATTTGCAATGAACTCTCTTGTTTAAATTTCGACAATGTGGTGTCCTTTGATCTTCTTTGTGGAGAAAAAAATAACATTTTGAAAGCTAAAGGTCAGATCTTTGCTAGTCGTCGGATGAGTGAGAGCTTATTGGGTTTCGTGTAGATTAATTCGCCTCCATTACTCTCAAGATTTGATTTTTCTGTGGATTGGTTCTGTGGTGCTTATCTACTGACAACTGTGTTACTATTTATGTTTCTCTGAGTAAGCTTTTGGTAAAATGTGAAGTCCTGAGTAATGTTTGTTTTTTGATAATTGAAAGTTTGAAACTTTTGGTGCTATTTGTTTTCAAAGGTGTGCTATAAGCTAAAGGACAAGGAACAAATCTCTAAATATGTTTTTGCGAAATCTGTCTCATAGTTTATGGAGTTGGAGAGGTGTTTAAGCTTTGATTTGGAGAGTTTTCAGACATAGAGATAGCTAAGTTATTGTGTGCTCGAGGGGTGTTAAGCTTAAGATGGGTTCGCTCTGTTGTGTGGCTGCAAAGTCAGACAGATCAAACTCTGCAAGTCATGACTTTTCGTTTGGCCCTCATGAGCCTTACTGGAGGACTAACTCAAGTTTCTCTCCACCTTCATCGAGATGGGATCTCCGTGGCTTAAACGATGGTGTAAGCTTCTATGGATCTTCCACATCATCAAACGCTAATGTTCTTCGTAGTCCTGACCTTTCAGAGACTCTTCATTGGACACCCAGTGACTTTGAATCTGCAACGCGAAGAGGTTTGCCACATTCTCAAGATTTAACAAAGCTTGTTTCATCGCCTTTCTTGCTTTCATCTGTTTATCTTTTTAGTTAACATTTTGCTTCTCATTTATCTCCGCAGATCAAACTCCTAAGCGATTTTTCCTGTCTAAGCCGGTTCATCCTATACATCATCCATCTGATAACGCTAGAGAAACAACATCAGACTCTGCAGATGCCTGCAGCTGGAGCAGCGGGACACCACCAAGCAGCATTGATTCCACGGATGTTCCCGAGCCACTTCTTGATTGGGACAATAACTCTACTACCAAAGCACAACGAGTGGCTTCAAGTACATATAAATGTGGATTGTGTCACAGATACATCTCCCAGAAGTCTCCTTGGGGGTCTAGGTCCATGCCTGTCACAGGAGTGCTTCCATGTCAACACGTCTTTCACGCTGAATGTCTTGACCAATCAACTCCAAAGTCTCACGGTAATGACCCACCTTGTCCAATATGCACCAAGCAGGAAGGAGGAGAACACTCCAAATCACTCAGCATTGTCCAGAGGCTTAAAACGCTTAGTGAAGAGGGGACATCTACAAGACAATGGGTCTGTGCTCAGGTTGGTGACTGTGTTGAAACTGCTGTTAATGTTCCGCCGAGACCGAGAAACACCATGATAATGATGAACAAGAATAGAATAAGGAAAAGCCTTTCATTGAGAGGAAACTCAAGCAAAGATTCTCCAAGAAAAATCAAGAAAAGTAACTCATTTGCCATGGAAAATCAAGTGCCTCTTGAGCATTCTAGAGGGAAAGAGAGAGCTTATTGGTAGCTGGAAACAGGATGCAAAGATATCAAAGGTGGGTTCTCTGACTTAAAACGCTTTAACTTTTGACAAGACTGTTCTTGGAAGATCATTAAAGGACTGTAAAGTATTTCATATGTGTAAGCATATTTGTTTAGAGCTTTGATTGTTATCTATCCTGTAATCAGCTAAGCTCAGTAAAGTGGTTTGTTATTTCATGAACGTGATTAAACGGTTAGGTTCTTTCAATATATATTTCTCTAAACACATGACTTGAATGTGTCTACATCGTTGTTGGTAGAGTCCACTAAACATTACTTTAACAGTGGTGGTGAGGTCCTCTCTTTTTCATACTCTTTTTACTTTATGTTAAACCTCTAATGTTGTTAATTTCTAACTAACGTTGTTGCTTCGTCCACTCAGAACATTAGTTGGAACCGCAAAAGGTAAAACTCATAATTATCTAGAGACTGACTTTAAGGCATGGATATATGATTATGAAAGGAAAATTTCATAATCATCCAACAAAGAGACCATCATGATCTCTAACCACGCGCTCTCCTTATCACCAAACTTTTCTTTTAGTTATCTGTGTTTGTTGACCATTTCCTCATGATCATTATGTCTACACTGTTAATGACTTAAGAGACACAAAATCATCACTTAGTCTCACAACCTCTTCCATTATAAACCAAATAATCCCTTTGCTTCAGACAAAACTTCTGTCTTTGATTCTGGAAAACATGTCTCCTCTTGTGTTTAGCTTTATCATTTGCATGTTCATTAATCTGTCACAAGGTATAGTAGAGTGTCTATATATATATATATATATATATCTTTGGAGCTTTTGACTAAATGGTATTTGTTTGTTTGTGTTGTCTGCAGGAATGCAAATGCCTTACATGACTTCTGATCCAAGAGACGTCTCCGGCAAGTCATTCGATTACATTGTTGTTGGAGGTGGAACTGCAGGATGTTCTTTAGCAGCAACTCTCTCTGAAAAATTCTCTGTTCTTGTCATTGAACGTGGTGGCTCTCCTTATGGAGATCCATTAGTAGAAGAAAGAAAATACTTTGGATACTCACTTCTAAAAACAAACGAGTACACATCTGTTGCGCAAAGTTTCACATCAAGAGATGGAGTTGAGAACTACAGAGGACGCGTTCTTGGTGGATCTTCAGCTATAAACGGCGGATTCTACAGCCGAGCTAGCGAGGAGTTTGTGAAGAAAGCTGGTTGGGACAAAGATCTTGTTCAAGATTCTTACAAATGGGTTGAGTCTAAGGTTGTCTTCATGCCGGAGTTGACTCAATGGCAATCCGTTGTGCAGTTTGGCTTTCTTGAAGCGGGGTTTTATCCTTACAATGGGTATAACTTGGAGCACAAGCAAGGGACGAAGATTGGTGGGAGCATATATGATCAGTGTGGGAAGAGGCATACATCTGCAGATCTTTTAGGGTTTGGGAGACCAAACCACATTACCGTTCTTCTAAACGCGACGGTGAAGAGTGTAATCTTTGATGGTAATAAGACTAAAGCTGTTGGAGTTAGGTTTATGAAGAGTGATGGGAGCTCAAGTAAGAGCTATAAAGTTCATGTTGAGAAGCGTAGAGGTGAAGTTATACTCACTGCTGGAGCTTTAGGTAGTCCACAGATTCTCCTCTTAAGCGGGATAGGACCAGAGGATCATCTAAACGATCTCAACATCCCTGTAGTTGTCAACCTTAGGGACGTAGGGAGAAGAATGTCGGATAATCCAGCGATCTCTCTTCTTGTTGATAGATTCTCACAAAACCGCACACTCGAGCCACCTCAAGTCGCAGCGATAGCAGAAGGATACAAGTACATACTCGAATCAGAGGTTCTTCCAACGAACATCACCACAACAAGAATCTCCATAGCAGCGAAAATCGCGTTCCCTAAGTCCAGAGGGAGGCTCAAGCTTAATACCACAAACCCTAGAGAGAACCCTTCAGTGAAATTCAATTACTTGGGAAACAAGGAAGACCTCGAGGCTTGCTTAGAGATGGTTCTTCTTCTTCAACACGTTGCTAGGTCAGAGACTGTGACGTTTTACCTAGGGTTGCAGAACCGGGAGAAGCTTTTGGCTGGTGATGATGAGCTTAAGGGGTTTTGTAAAGACAATGTGAGGACTTATTATCATTACCATGGAGGTTGTGTGGTGGGATCTGTGGTTGATGAGGATTATAAAGTTAGTGGTGTGAAGAGGTTAAGAGTTGTTGATGGCTCAACGTTTGAAGAGTCACCAGGAACAAACCCTATGGCTACGGTTTTGATGTTGGGAAGATATCAAGGAATCAAAATACTTAAAGAGAGAGAAGCAAAGAAAGAAGGAGATGAGAGCTTTCTTAGTCCTCAAGGAAGTCCACAACCACAGCCCTAAAACATTCTTACCCTTTTCAGACAGCAATCTCTGTTCTGTTTTCTTTGTGCAATGAATTATGTTTTGTTGTAATGAATCAATTTTCAGTAACCAATTCTTATTAAAAATGGAAACATTTAAAAAAAAAAAAACAAAAAGAATATACACAAGTTTCTTGTAATCCAAACCTAACTCTAAGCCTCTGTTCCATCTGGAGGGTTTGCATCATCGTCACTAACAACAGAGAGTCCAATCCAAACCCCAACTTTCTTCTCTTCTTCAACTTCCTCAACAGGCATCTCGTACCTACACAACGGACACGTGGCGTGTCTCCCCAGCCACTCCTCCACACACTTCGAGTGAAACTTATGCTTACAAGGCATCTCCGCCGCCACGTCACCTACCGACCACTCGTCAAGACAAATCGAACACCCTCCTTTTCCTATCTCCTCGTCTTCTCCGATCACGACACGTGGCATACTCTCCACCGACGATTTCGACGCGGGAGATCTCCCCTGTTTCTCAGAAACGTCGCCGTTTAAAAAATCCTCGAGTCCGACAGGCGATCTGATCACTACTACTCTCTGGATCACCGAACCACCGCCCTCGCCGGCTTCTCCGGCTGAAGTAAAATTCACCGGTGAGAATCCGTCTCCTTCGATCATCCTTCGGAACACAGCCGCTAACTCTAAAAAATCCGCCTCTGAAGACATCACGCAAACACAATTAAGATTGAAAGGAGAGATCTTTTTGAGAGAGAACAAGAAAAGGAGCTAACTTTATTAAGGAAAAGGAAACTGAGCAAAAAAATTAGATACAAATCTGTGAAGCAAAGAGTCAAGAGATTTATATATATGTTAGCGGAGATGTTTTACAGTGAAGCTGGCAAAAAGGAAATAAACGAAAGGTTAGAGAAGAATCTAGAATCATTGGTGTTCAAAATAGTCTTTAATTTTTAACATTTTTTAATTTTTAATATTCGGAATCCTTATCCTCTTTCATTACCGGACAAAAGGCGAGGGAAGATATTTTTAGTTTTTTTACTACTAATGCAAGTTTAGTCATAATAAAATCGCTGGCGAATATTTAAAAAATTTCGTATCTGCACAGAAGGTGTTCGATAAAACTCCGCTTTGAGAGTCTTCCGACTTTCGATGCTTCCGGAATGCTATCTCGTATGGCTGCTTTGACTTCTATTCCTTCAGTTCAGTTTAGAGTCTCCGACATTCTCGGAACTCGTTTGAAACCTTGTCCTTTATTTCCAGTTCGAATAACAAGTAAGTAGTATACCTCTTCTTCTTCTTACTTCCATGTTATTGTCCTCTCTGTCTTACTTAATTGGCTCATAATTTTTGACCCTTTTGATCAGATATGACCGTGAAACCGTTTGTGATTGAAGCACGAAACAATTCTCGAGTCGAGAGTCCCAAAACCAGGAATCGGAGAAGCAGAAAAAAGGTAAAATTTCTTAAGTTTCAAATTTTTAATCATAAAAAATTTGAATCTTTTGTCAGTAATGGTTGAAGTTTTTGTCTATTTGCTCTGTTAACAGTTTAATGGAACACAAACGAAACCAAGACTCTCGGTGTTCTGTTCAGACAAGCAACTCTATGCTATGTTGGTGGACGACTTTAACAAAAAGTGTTTGTTTTACGGTAGTACATTGCAGAAGTCTATTCGTGGTGATCCTCCATGTTCCGTCATTGTAAGTTTATCATGAGCAGTTTCTAGTATTCATGGCAATGTCTCTCCTTCACATGTCTTGTTTGAGAAAATAATAACATGTCTTAGAGCTAGATTAAAGACATTATTAAGTCTAGGACTAGATAAAGTTCTTTCTAGTTATACTTTTTTATTCAGGGGGAGAAGAAACTCAAACCTTTAAAGTGATTACTTTTGTCTTTTTGCAAAGCGAGTCTGTTCATATTAATGTGTTTTACAGGAAGCAGCGAAACGGGTTGGAGAAGAGCTCATCAAGGCTTCTATAGACCTCAAGATCAGCGAGATATCATCCTATGATCGAAATGGAAATGCTCGAGGTGAAAGAATGCAAGCCTTTGAAATTGCAATTAAGCAACATGGGTTCTTACCATAATACTAGTATGTTCTTAACTCTCTTTTCAAAGACTCATCACACTCATTATAGTTATGCGGAGTATCTTACATTCACTCTCTTATTGAAACACAATACTCTCTTTGTTTTAAACAGAAGATATCACACTTAGAGTCTCACCAAGAGAATCTTTCTTTGGGAACTTTGGAAACTTGATCTTTGAAGCACATGATTTATCCGGAACATACGGGCACTCCACAAACACTTTAGCGTAATTGTCAAGACATATGTAGATCTGGAAAAGCTGCTTTGTCCCTTTTACATCTTCATTGCACTCTATACCTGGTGCAAATCCAATAGCGCACTTGATGGCGTTCTTGATCTCATCTAAACCGTATAATCCACCATCCGGTTTAATTCCTACACAAGAACAAAAAATGATCAGTACACAGAACTTTTTGTTTAAGGATGTTGAATCTTTGATATATATATACCTTTATGTTTAAGGATGTTGAGGAGATTGACTTTTTGTCTGAATTTGAGATTGGTGAGGAAGTAAGAATGTTGGTCGAAGACAGATTGAACACAAGTGCCGTGCTTGTTCCATTCGTGTTCCCATAGCTTGGTCTCGTTGCTTGGACATGACCAAACTCCCCACTCTGTCCACTTCTTCTCCATTTTGTTTACTAGATCTGATACCTGTTTGTTTTTTTCAAGAATCAGTTCAACTTCGTCTATGAGCTACTAGAAGAACATACAATCATTTAGAGCTAAGGATCACCTTGGAGATATCGAAGAGATTGGTTTGGTCGCAAAAAGCAGGCCAAGTGCCATTGTTGAACTGAGGCCAGAGTCCATGGATCATGAAATCCGACGCCGTATTGCCTTTCGGTGGAGGACAACATCCTTTTTGACTATCACATATTGCTCCTGGCCACTACCATCCATATAAACCGTATATAGAAAATACAGTAAAAAAAAATGTACGTTATGATTTGTTGTTGGAAACTTACGTAGGTGACCCAGTAGAAGAAATTGAAGTCCGGTGGTGATGGTGACGAAAACACGATGAGACTTTGTAAAACTAAGAAGCTTACGACGATGATTCCTCTCATGTGTTTTTTTTTCTTCGATTAATTTCTCAGACAAATTATGACAGTAGTTTGCTTGAGTAGATATAAAAGTCGTAAAACAATATTTTAGTTTGTTTTTTTACCTTTTCCTGTTTTATTATTTTTAATTTTTTTTTCTCCACTAGAGAATATATATGGTATATAAATAATGCAATAGTGGCTATATAATAAGGTTTAGACACTAAATAATTCACCGGTATATTACTCGGCAAGTTATTCCACGTGAAAGAAAAAAATGTTATTCCACGTGGTCACTAAATAGTATGGGCTTTCGTAAAATTATGGGCTTTTGTAAATAGGTTTTTGGTAAATTTATAGACAAAATCACTTTCTACGTGAAAGACAATGGATTAGTTATTATTACCACTTACCAGAGAAAGACAATGGATTTAACCGGAAGCAGACCGGTCCATGCGAAGCTCAAAGGTAGAGTTAGTACGATTGGCTCTTAATATAATTAAGGAGTGATATTTTTTGGGTGTAATTAAGGAGTGATATTGAATCTGTTAATGTTCTCCAAAAGATATTATACAAATATGATTTCGGATGTAAATCATCATACTTTATGAATAAAAATACTTTTAATTCGCGTACCTTATGCTCTTTTTCAAAAAAAAAAAAAAATATTGTGTACATATACCAAATCCGGCTAAAAGTAAATTAAACAACTAGCTAGCTCCATTTTGTGACGCCACTAAAAGTTTTTCTTTAACATGTACTATACGTTGAATTTTCATGAAACGTGTTAGAATAATACACTGTAATTTATTTACTAATACATGCCGTTATCACACCAAAGCTTATCTCATTATTCTTTAGATAAATTTAGTAACGTATAAAAACATCACATTTTAGAGTCCACATAAACTTTGGAGTAGTATGTTGAAATAGAGAGAGCAATTATAAAGTTTATAACAAAACACTCAAAAGAAAAAGACTATTAAAACTTAGCAAACTGGAGACGAGAAGGACATCTATCTCTCGGCAAGACTGGACATTCGATAAACTCAGTTCCTGATGTATCAACGCAAAAGAAGATCTCGTCAAGTTGGCTGTTTTTCTCTGGATCTTTGTTACAGTTGATTACTGGAGTAAACCCAGTTGCTTCTTCTATCGCCTTTTTAATGTCTTCAAGTTTATAGAATTCGTCATTTGGTTCAATTCCTACATAGTTACCACAACCATACAAGAAAAAATGAAAATATATATTAGAGTTTAAGCATATGTAAATGAATACACTGGTTAGACGTGGTGTCTCTATTAATTAACTAGTGTATATACCAGCGTCCGTAAGGATTTGAAGAAGATTGATTTTGTCTCTGAGTTCAAGAGTATGCTCAAAGTATTCACGTTGATCCATTACGGATTCGGAACACGTGCCGTGTTTTTCCCACTCGTGTTCCCAAAACTTGAACCCCTCGTTGCTCGGACATGCTAGTGTTGGCCACTTCGTTTGCAAAGTACTTACCAGATCCGATATCTACATTCATAAATTTACATTTGTTAAAATTTATATATAAACAAAAATCATTGAAGGAATATCACATATTCATATACCTTAGATGGATCAAATTCACTGTCGGGATCGCAGTTTGATGGATATGAACCATCGTTGTAATTAGGCCACAGCCCGTGGATGCCAAAATCTGCGGCAGGTTTACCGGTTGTTGGATAGCAACAAGCACGGTTTGTATCACAATAGGCTCCTGGCCACTGTATAAATATATTTTTAAAATTATTATCTGGCTGTTCATTTCTAGTTTTATATTAACAGATGTATAAAAGTTCACAGGATTTTAATATATACATGATAATTGAAGATATAATTATTTAATCAGAGAGTATATATACCTGAAGAACAAAGTAGAAGAAGTCAAAGCCTGGATCTTGAAGACGTGAAGTGAAAAGACCTTGAAACATTAGAAGCTTGAGCAAAAACCAACCCTTTCCTCCCATTTTGTTCTACTCTTGTTTTTGCAATGAATACTTGAGACCTTTCGGCTTCAGATTTATAGTCAAAAACAAATAGCATCTTCATTGATACCAGTTTGTTTTAATTAATGACTCGTGATTAAGAATTAGAAAATCTGGCATGATCTTTCTTGAAACACTTAATATAAAACTTGGGGGTTGGGGGGGGGGGGGGGGGGG